CTTCTAGATTCTCTATGTTCCCCATCAATGGAGATCAAAAGGTTGTAGAGGAGACCATGAATCAATTGGAAGATCTAACCCTATCATGCAAAGAATCATATTTATGGATCTAAGGTATGTTTCCGCTTTTATTTTGATGTTCTCATTGATTTCAACGTGGATGGTTAATTCGGTAATGTTTGATTATTGATGTTTTAGATCGATAATCACTTATAAGTTTTCTATCATTCCTAGCCAAGAAAATCTGTCGATCCTCCATATGGATTTAAGGGTCACGTTGCCGAGCTTCGCATCCACTCCCCTTTCTATAGAAGGACGACGAGAAGACTTGTGTCTTTTTAGATAGTTTCAAGACACAACCATACTAGACAATTACAGCGAAAGTATTAACCACTTTTTATGTCAATGTAATCAAATGAAGGGGTTGGATTTGATGCCTTTTGTAATCACATCCTAAATAATTAAGAGGAAATCTTTCTGATTTGATTTTCACTTTGGTGAGAACTCATGCTTCAAGCAATCAATTTTACATGCCAAAACTTTAATAGTTACTCATATATATGTTAAATGATTTAAACAAATCAAGCATAGCTAGTAAACGTAACTAAAGCCATCCAAGCTTTCATGCAAGCTCACCATATGAAACTTTAAGCAACGCTGTTTGCATCTTTAATCGAATAATTAGAATGAGGTGAAACACTCATTTTCAGATGAGTTTGAGTCATCGCAAGGAGAATGGTTGTGTCTACCTTCGTACGTTGTTATTACCATTCGACGATCCTCAGACAGCCTTTCAACCCTTTTCTTGACTCGACAATTACTATATGTGCATCGGTAATAACTTCTGAAAAAAAAGAGGGTTCAAATGTAAAGGACTCTTTAGTTACATCATCTTCTATCTTTCTCAGCAATAAATAATGCAGTGAAAAATAAATAAATAAACAAAAGACCTGTTTCTAAACAGCAGAGTAACATAGAAAAGCACCAGAACTCATGAGATTCTTAGTAATTATATGTCACCAAAGAAAATATATAACTAATGAGTGTCACATAAGACTAGATACTATAAACCATGTTCTATCTGTACTTGACAGTTCATTTCATCATTAATATCAAGAAATTAATGCTGGAAAAAGGAATAGTTTGAAGAAACAAATTGTCTTCATTCTTCTATAATTGTTGGTGGAAAGGAATAAGAAATATTAATTCCAAGTTGGTTTGTGATGAAATTCAATTTTGCAAACTTCCAAAGTTTGGTAATCAAGACAAATTTTTGTTTGTTGTTTGCTTGTAAATGCAGTGTTATTTCTATAGAAATGACATTGTAAGTAACATTAGAACGCCATAACTACGAGTCTTATTTATTACCAATATTTTAACAAATATTAAGACCACCGTCACAAAAACCTTGCGCACTCAAAAAACCAAAAAAAAAAAAGTTACCTGAAAATTCGCACATCCCATTTATTGATACAAAATTATGCACAATTTAGGATTTAAATTGTTGGATAAACAGAAAATTAATAAACCAGAAAATTAATACACACACACACACACATATATATATATGTATGTATGTATGTATGTGTATGTATGCAGGGGCGGAGGGAGGGGTGGGCTATAGCCCAGCCCTACCCCAGCCCAAAAGCAATTTTTTTAAAAAATATTTGGTTAATTGTGTATCATTTCAGTTTTACACGGGTTGTAAATAAAATTAATTGGGCTAAAATTAATATTTGGGCTCGACAAATTTTACTTTTTTTTTTTTTTTTTCACCATGAATTTGCTTCTAGAATATATTATGACCAATGTTTTAAACTTATAGAAAATGATATATAACATTAATATATTAAAAATCAAGTGCGAATGTGCGATTTAAGTTAAATTTGAAAATTAAATAAATGAAAGGATGAAAGTGAATATTACAATTTAATTAGTTTGAATTCAAAATCAAATTAGTCAATTAGACATACATTTGGAAAATGATTTTTGATGGACATTTTAACATTTTTTTAATTATGTCACTATCCCACATTGGAAGATTATGAAATCATTGGAGAGAAGAGTATCTATAAAAGATATTATCTCACATTAGAAGTTTATGAAACCATTTGAGATAAGTACATCTATAATATGAGCATGACATCCAATAGTTTTCTATGAGCCTTTGAATTATAATCTATGAGGTCCATTCATGAAGTTAAAATTTTTTAAACTAAAAAAAGAAAGGAAAAAAAAAAAGGAAAACCACCAAACTGTGACTAGTTCATCGGTTTACGGTTGAACCGGCAGATTCAATGGGTTTTGAGCGGTTTTGTCATAATGAGTTAGCTAGGCATGATTTTGCCCGATTTTGGGTCCAGTTTTTGTTTTATGGTATGATTTAGAACATCTTTTAGTGTACAAGTTCATTGAAAAAAAAAAAATTCAGCCCAGCCTAATATATTTTCTGGCTCCGCCCCTGTATGTATGTATGTCTATATTTTCTGGCTCCGCCCCTGTATGTATGTATGTCTGTGTGTGTGTGCAGTGAATTTTATAGTAAATAAGGATATATATACCTGAAAAAAAAAAAACTTATACCTGGGATGAAGGCTGTTCTTGACGACCTTCTGGCCATATTTTCTCCATTTGTAACCATCATCAAGCACATCGATATCACTCCTTGTCTGGAAACAGAACCTTGGCTCTCTCAGCTTTCTCCTTAACTTGCCCTTTCTCTTCTCTAAGGATGAACTCCACCTGCTCCATATATTCGAATTTTTATGTTATGTTACTTATGTATGTATGGATGTGTGTTCATTCCTGTACAACTTTCTTTAATTAGCATTAAAAGAGATGGTCATAGGCAGTGTGATCACTAATGTATGGATTTGATTATAGAATAAGAGCATCTAGGGGTGACTTCGGTGGGGGTTGGTTTCCCAAAAAGAATAAGCCTTCTGAATAAAGTTTTCCCGAAGAATGAGTCTGTGTCACGGACGAGACACAGTGATATAGTGGGTCTAGCACTTGACCTCGGACTTCTTCGCACTATGAACATGCACATGAGTGTGCACCAGCTGTGAGAAGGATCTTTTTAGAATATGACCTAAAGCATAAAGAAGCACTCTAGGATTTCACATAACACCCACACTACACAAGCACAACAAAAAGGCAGGGAAGAAAAGCCCTTATCCTGGAAGCTTGTTTACTATGGGATCGGGTCACCTTTTGGCCCGTAGAACCTAAGATTTGCCAGTGAGCTCTGCAACAGCGGGGAAGAGAAGAGTCAAGATGTTTCTGATTCACCCCTTGTTTGGCCCCATTAAAATTTTTATCTTTCTTAATTTTAACCATACATTTTCCAAATAAGATAATATTATACATGTATCTAAAATTTTTCATTATTTTTCAACTACACATTCTCTCATCAATCATTATTTCAAAATTTAAAAATTCTCCAAAATGGGGGGTCAAACAATGACTCGGTGATCCATAAAAGGATCTCTAATGCACGGAACAATAAAAAAAAAAAAGAAAGAAATTCTTCTGATCCAAATCTGTATTTTTATAAAATCAATGATTCACTGGTCGCCTGTTAATCTTTGTTTTCCGACGCTTCCCATCAGTTTATAGGGCTAGGGTTTATCTATGTGTGTTTGGGGTGGCTGTGAGTGGAGGGTTCCAAGGGATTTAAGAGAGTTAAGAAGCATACCATGAATTCCGATCCTCGTTGGCATTACCACTGCAGTTTTCATCATTAACAGCCTTGGGATCCGCTGTGCCTACCTATTAGTATTTTTTCACCATTGATCATTAATCCAAAAAATCGAAAATATTAATTAGTGAAACAAAGTAAAAAATATTAAGTAACTAAAAAGAATGCAGTAGTTCAATGCATACAGGACGAAGAAGAATTCAGACTGTTTATACATTCAAATACCTGGTCGACGTTAGCCCACGAAGGTCGATTCAGAAGTTCATTATGGCTGAACCCTAGAGAGCCACCACTGCTGTTGGTGGTTGGCTTAATAATGCTGCCTCCACCACCACAGTGAAGAGGCCGTGGCACCGGAGAAGATTGTGAGGGTGCCTCCAAAAGGGTGATGGCTTGATTATGATCCTCAAACTGTACAAACCCCATTTCATGAGAAACAGAAAAAGAGAGCTCCTGCTGCAGATGATCATAATTGGACGGTAACCCTATTTCTCCTTCCATTCTTGATTTAATTTTCGATGAGTTATTGATGATGGATTGAAGAATATATCATGGACTTTATTCTTCTTCTTTTTTAATGGGTGAATTTATTGCATGCTCAGAGTACAAAGTGTGGGACCTCGTTTCAAGAACAGTATTCACGACCTTCTTCACTGCAATGTACTTTCAGTCAACAAGTAAATTCTAGTTGGAATATTGTTCATTGCTTCAAGATTATAATTCTATTATGCCCCCCTGTTGGTAGATTTTTTTGGGAAAAACATTGTTTTAAACCGTGATTTTTTGGAGACTATGCAGTTAAAAAAGTGAAAAAAAATTGAGTTTACTTGTAAATTATTTTATTATGTGAATATATGATTAAAAATGAGCATGTTAAAAAAATATTTTAAAAAGAATGAGAGACAAACAGAGGCTATGTTTCATCTGTTGTCGATAGTTTTGGAAGAAATAATCTCCTTCCTCATGTAACACATGCTCAACGGATTAAGTTAAATGTGATGGTTGGCATGGTATTGGAGCCATGCAAAATATTTAGGTTCAAATTTCGCTTTCATCCATTCAATAAAAATTTTGCAGATTTTGGTAGAAGATTGAATTCAGTATACCGAGGAACATGTCGAGGGTAGGATTTACAAAATTACTTTTACTTGTTTTAAGAATGAGAGACAGGTAGTATATTTTACTTGATGTATGTGTGTGTATATATATATAGGAATGGAAATGTGAAAATCACTAGTTAATTAAAATATGGTGTTACCAATAATTCAACTATAGACTAGCCCATTGACTGCTAGCAAGTTGCTTGCACTCAATAATACAATTATGTCTGAATCCACGAAAATATGAGTAACATGGGTTAGAAATTGTACGCTTAACCAAGATGATCTCATCCGTTGACACTGAATTCCAGACCTGTACTTAGGGCAAAAGCCAATAACTTATTCTTCTTACATATTCAGAATAAGCGGAGACACATTTGGTTACATTCATGGAGATATTGGCAAGAGAATGGACTATATACAAAAACATTGAAAATTATGGAACTTTAAATTGTTTTCTTAGATAGTATAAAGATTAAGGCGAAGAGGGGATAGACTACGAATCAAATCTCAATAATTGCAAAGAAAGTAGAATATATCTCGGCCTTTCGGTGGGTTGGATTGTAAAGCTAAATGCCTTTTGGACTATGCACTTATTGGATTCTTTTTGTTAAATAATCCAAACTAATTTGATAGATTTTTCTCTTAAAAACATGGCAAAACCTTGAATTATACATAGAAATAATAATTAACGCATCCAAATTGACGTTATTCATTGATATAGCAATTAAAAAAAAAAACACTTAACTATTGAACTTTAAATTCATATCGCTTAATTAAGACTTGATTTTTAGGTTTACAATCATCATATTTTCTTCTAAGTCGGTTTTTTTTTTTTTTTTTTTTTGGTGGTGNTTTTTTTTTTTTTTTATGACTCAAGTGTCCAAACTTTGCCCAACTAATCCTGAGGAGTGGCGGCCTTCTCCCCTGGTTCGTCACTCTGGTTAATCCGGATGTGTTCACAGGCACAACTTATACACACTTGGGTCGGACATTCGGCGGTTCTCCTCTTTGTGGACCTCTACCTTCCAACATTTGAATGTTGCCTTCTAGCTGTCGCGGGGATTCGAACATTCGATGCTCCGTAGAGAATCCTTCTACTTTACCACTATACCATGCCCGTGGGGGTAGTCAGTTTTAAGATTATGTTCTACCCAATATAGTTGTAGTAAATGGTATCCGAGTAAATACCCTAAATCATTCCATATACATGAAAACTTGGAGTATGCACCGTGAACATTGGTTTTAAATGAATGGGAAATAGTAATGACTTTAATTTGAGCACTTGCTGAGTTAAGGTATGGCTTGCGAGTTTCTACTTATTTGAGCACTCTCCTCTTACAATATGATTTTAAAAGCGAATTCGCATGTTAATGAATATGTAGAAGAAAATATTGACCTAGTACATGAAATATTCTTGCAAGAAATGATCAGTGGGGTCTATGAGGTTTCCATCCATGTCAAATATGTCAATGGAAGATGAAAGAAAATGAAATGATAATCCTCTGCCCTCCAAAATCCAGCCAAATCTGATTCCAATATATGCAATTGTCTACTCAGACCACCCTTCCCTGCAAAAAGAAGAAAAAACTATCATAACTCCTACATTTCCTTTCATTGTCCATCTCTATTTGTGTTTCTCTTGGTCTTCCACTTATTTTCACCCATTACTTGATCCACATTCTTTGATTCTTTTGAAAAGACCTTAGACTTGTGTTCAGGTTTTGTGTGTCATTATTTATGAAAATTTTGTTCTTTTCACGTTTTCATGAAAAAGTAATCCACTTTACACATGAGAGGCGGGTTGAAACTCGAGCAAGTAGACACACATTTTTTACAGCAATAGAGACACTCGTCCTACAATCTTGATACCAATCATGCTATAAGTATAGGAAATTTTAACAGACAATAACAGATGGCGTTGAATAATTGGAAGATGGAGAGAGAGAGAGAGAGAGAGACGTCAATGTCGGTACGAATTCTGTCAATATTTTTCTGTACTCATGACTTTTTCCTCTTAATACAGCCCTTTTAGCCGTTGTTTTGATGATCATTATTTGATCAAAACAATGTTTTGAATAGTTATTTTTGGGAAAAATGTGTGATTAAGAAAGGAGTAAAATATTTTGCCCCTATTTGACAACCATTATTTGAAAATTCTTTTTTTTTTTTTTACATACTCATTTTTAATCATCATTCACACAATAAAATATTTTATATGTAAATTCAAAAAATTTCTCGACTTATTAGTCATATATTCTTCTAAAAATCATTATTCAAAATATTATTTTAACCAAATAATGGCTGGACTAAAATCCCAAATTCTTATTATACAAACAAGATATCTTCCTTCTTGTTTTTAGGAGATTTGCCAGATAAAGCAAAGGGTATGGAGTAGGTTATGCAGAAAATTGGGTAGCTAGTATAATCAAGCGTGTGTGCACTGGTCAAATTTTCAACTCAAAGAGACTAACCTTTCTGCTAAAACAGGCTGAGAGGAAGTACAATATCTTGAAGGAATATATAATTATTAGTAAAGCAGGCATCATATGTGCATATCTATAATTTCTGGATTGGAGGAGTGACATAATTTCATTTTTTGGCAATTTCAGAAGGTGCGCAAAGCTTTGTTTTTCTAATAATGAGAAATGGAATCCAATCCATTGGTTTTTACCCCCCCCCCCCCCCCCCCCCCCCCCCCCCCCCCCCCCCCCCCCCCCCCCCCCCCCCCCCCCCCCCCCCCNGTTTTCTTTAAAAAAAATATTTGAATAATAAGCATCTCAAGGTCCCTAGTCTCACGTGGGCATCAATTGATTGAGACATTTTGTTACACGAAATAAAGAAATATTTTAGTATTTTGAGAATATTATTCTCTGTAATACGGTGCAAAAAATTCAACTTTCCTTTTTGGTCCACTTGAAGTAGTATTTCGTTCAATAGTTTAGTTAAAAAAATAAAATGATAAGATTTTAAATAAAAGTTAATAATTAATTTTAACTACACATTTTATAGGATCCATAACTTTTATCAAATTTCCGATCACACATTTCATAATTATTTTTATCAAAATCTACTAAAAATTTTATTTTTAACAAAATCAACATGTGCTAAAAGTTTTTATGTTTGCTTTTTCTTAAGTTCACTTTCTAGGCCTTTATAATTTAACGATAAACCGCTACGATTCAAGTAGCACCACTTGCTTCTGATCCCGCTTCAAAATCTTTGTCGATCGATACACCTGTTAAGACTTGGAGAAGTTGATACCGTATAGAATAGTTTGTGGCAAGTATAAAAATAGGAAATGGGAAATGAAAGTGTGGTGATCAAGGGTCTGTCTATGTAGATTTTATTAAATAGATTTCGTGAAAAATAATTTTTTTAAGAATGTACGGTTAAAAAGTAAGAAAAAAATTATGAATCAACGTGTAAAATTAATTTTTATTTATTTATTTATCAGTTTAAATAATATAAATAACCTTGCAATGGAAAGAGATTACTGAATTCCATGCAATAATAATGACCTGCATTTCAATCAGGTTTTAAAGTCGACTTGGTGAATTCATGATTGTATATTCTGTGGGTCTTGTCTTAATCTTGTCCCCTTCTCTTTATAAGAATTGTGTTTCATTTCAAAACGAATTTTCAACGGTTGAAATTATTCTTCATTAACTTTATTATAACAGATAGACACAATAATTTCCTTACGTGGCAAAAGGATTCGTCCCCGATTTTGTCCTAAAATATAGTTACTAAACTGGCTAAATGAGAAAAACAAAATTAATTTCAGTGACGAAATATTTATGAAAAAATAAAAGTAGAAAGAAAAATAGTCCCCTATACCGTGGCCCGACACCTAAGCATAATAAGAAATGTGAAAATTACATCTATCCAAAGTTTTAAAATGCTTAATTTAAAAATCAGATTAAAGAATTGTTGTTCAAATATCAGATGATCTTTTAAATATTAATAAAAATATTATAAAATCAAATTTAATCTAACCCTTTCATTTTCAAACCCTAATCATTTTTCTTTATTTTTTTTCCTCCCTCAGCCCTCTTCCTTCTCTCTTGTCTCATTCTCTATCTATTTTCTCACTCATTCAACAATCCCACCGAAAGACGAGGAAGCGCCACCGGAAAGACGTCACTTAGCAGCATGGCGATGCCGCTATGCGCGGATCTAGTAGGCCGTTGCACAATGACGCCCTATAGCAGCGATGCTATGCTCGCAACGCTATGAGCTTGGTCGTTCGTAGTGGCATCAAACAGCGTTGAGAATACTGCAACTCGCAACAGTGTTTCTAGCCCGCCACTGTAGCAGAAAAATTTGGGGAAGGGTTTGGGGTAATTTGGTCGTCGGTAGAAGAGAAAATTTGAGGATGGAGTTTTTTTAAGGGTGATT